TAATCTTTTATTATCACAACTCTAGGTTTGAATTTTTTCTTCAGTTCTTTCAGCATGCAATATGCTGAGCATTTCTTCTTTCTTGGTTTTCTAACCCCAGGTCTCTATCCTTAAATGTACTATTTTTCTTTCTTTTCTCTTGGCTAACCCCACAGCCTCTTCCTTTCCTTTCTATTTATGCTATTTCCCTTTACCAAGCATTTAGAACAATTTGTGTGTGTGTGTGTGAGTGTGTGTCCTGGTTAAGTCCTGGGACAGAAATAAGGAAATCAGGCCTCATCTAAGAGTCAACAATTTAGTTGAATACATAAGTTATAGTCTAGAAAAGTAAACTAAAAATATAGGAGCTCTGTGCAATTAAGCAGTAAATGACTCACCTGGCAAAGTCCTACAGCAATTAAACCATAGACTGGTGAGCGATCATGGTCCACATCTGCATGATTCAATAGAACTTTCTACAGTGATGGAAACATTTTCATTGTGTGGGTCATGTATTAAACTTCTGGAGGAACTAATTATTTTTCCACAGTGGTTACAGGAATTTGTGGCTACAGTGGCTTTGGAGGTATTGAATTTAAAATTTTAATTACATTAAGATAACTTTTGTGAGCCTTAGTTTCCTTCTTTATAATTTGGAAATAATGCCTGCTTCACTACATTAGGGCACTGGTGGCATTGTTGGGTTATGTGTTGAACTGCTAACCACATAATCAGCAGGTCAAATCCACCAGAAGCTCCTTGGGAGAAAGATGAGGCTATCTGCTCTTATAAGAATTTACAGCCTTGGAGACCCTATATGGCGTCGCTATAAATTAGATCTGCAGGATGGCAGTATTTTGGGGGGTGTGGGGGTGGGGTTGGTAGTATACGTGGCTAATGGCTACCTTAGATAGTGTCAATAGTTAAAATATGATTTGTGCTGTTATTTGAAGAAAGGCCCACATTTGAAGAGCTGAGAATGTAGAAAACCATTCTAGCACAAGAATAAAACATGAATGCTCAACTCATATGGAAAGTGTGAATGGGCTTGGATGCATGTGTGTGAAAGCGCACATTTGGATAAGGGGTTGTTATAGGTGGCTACACGGGGCAGACTATGCCACTGAGCTGAGAGTTGAGATTTCAAGCTGTAGGTTAAAGAGGAACCACTGATTATTTTGATCAGTGAATGCTTGTTCTTCCCATGTTCCAGACAAGTATCTTGAAAATAAATTTAAAAGGTACTGGTGAAGGTGAGAGATGTAGAAATTTAAAGGCTTATTAAAGATATTAGGAAGTTAGAGGCAATAGAATTTGATATCTGACTAAACATGGATGGTGAATAAAAAAGAGAGATGATGTATCGTTAGGGATCTATGAGGACAAACCCTGCGGACCGTCAGTGATTCTGGGGTGGGTGAAAGCTCTAAGATATAGAAGATGCTTGAGTTCCCATACCTATTGGACCTGCAGCCTGCCCCTTTTTCCCACTTTGGGAAACATTGATTTAGTGAATGGCAATGGAACCAGATTAGTGGAGTTGAAGAACTCTGATGGAGAAAAAGTTTTCAAGAGTCCTACAGGTCAGGAGCTGAGCCCTGGTTGTGCTGTAGGTTAGGCTCTGGACAGCTGACTGCAAGCTTGATGATTTAAACCTATGAGCCACTCTTATGGAGAAAGATGAGGCTGTTGGCTCCCGTAAAGACCTTGGAAACCCTCTATCAGGTTGCTATGAATTAGAATGGACTTAATGGCAAGTGGGTTTGGTTTATAGGTAGTTGGAAGAGGCTTGGTGGAGCTGTGTGTTAGGTAATTGGGCTGCTAACCTCAAAGTCAGCAACTCAAATCCACCAGCCATTTTATGAGAGTAAGGTGAGGTTACCGTCTACTTCCATAAAGATTTAGTTTCAGAAACCCTACAGTTCTGTTCTGTCTTTGAGAGTTACCATGTGTTGGAATTGACTCCATGGGAATGGGAGAAAATAAAGATGAGGAGGGAGAAGTGGTAAAGGAAACTGAAAGGTTAAGGTAATGATGCTGACAAAAACTGAGGGGCCAGAGATAGGAAAGTGAATTTTGGACTCTATTTTTCAATAGTTTTATTGGCATTTAATTCACATAGTATACAATCCAATAGTTTAATCACATCAAGAAGAGCTGTGCAATAATCACCACAATCAGTTTTAGAACATTTTTTGTGTGCTTATCGTTATTAGCTCCTCACTGCCCCTCAACTTGCCATCCTACACACAATGAACTATTAACTCAGTTTCTGTCTCTACAGATATACCTATCCTGGATTTCATATACAGAAAAACATTAAAAAACAAACTAACAACTAATAATAATTAAAAAGTAAAACAGATAAAAACCTCAATTAAAAAGAAAGCAGTAAATATTAAAAGCTAGAACAAAATTAAATGGCTCATAAGGGAGATCAAATGATAGGGTGTTAACAACCCACTTGCCAATATATTCTGCATATTAGCAAGGCTATTGATATGTTGTTGATGGGAGATGATCTTGAATGTGGGCAATGTCTTGTGAATGATGAGGTCCCTGGATAACGAATTGCTGGTTGGGGGTCATGTGAGGCTAGAGTTTATTAAGCATATAAGGCTGGAGAAAGGTTATCCAGAAGTAATAGTTCCAGGGGCGATTGTGATGTGTTCTCCAAGGCTTGAAGGGAAGGGAGAAGGGAAGGTGGAGCAACGAACCTTCGGCAAATGTCTACCCCAGTAAAGGGTGCTGGTGCTGGTATCTTTTAAGCTTTTCAGTAGAACAGGAACCAAGGCCAACTGCCAAGAATGAGGGAAGAAGGAAAAGTGGGGTGAACGGGGAGGACAAAGATCTGTGGCAGCAATAGTTGAGGCTGTTCTTGTCTTTGAGAATCACCCCCCACCCCCCAAAAAAAAAAAGAATAAAAGGACTGGGGACTCTATCAACATGATTTTAGGATTTCCATGTTGCCAGCTATGACGATTTGTTCCAGGAAATGACAGTAGTAACTACTACCACCATCATTTATCACGTGGTTATCATGTACCTGCTACGAGCATTTACATGTCTTATCTCACTTGATTTTCCTATTCATCTCAGGAGGCAACCCAAACACAAACCCACTGCCATCGAGTCAATTCACCCCCAAGGGTCCAATCTAATGAAAATAGGTATTAAGATTTCCAAACTATAAAAACGGGAACTACGACTCAGAAAGGTTGCCGTCGTAATTACATATGCATACACATATAGCTATCTAGAAAATGGTTACCATCAAGTTTCCATACACTGTTGTGGGCACGGAAAAGGTGTCGCTGTCTGTCATCATGAAGCTTTTGTGGCGTGAAAACTGAAAGACGTAAACGAATAAATGAATTCGAGAATTCCACATTTTGATTACTGGCGTGAAGAAAACGAAACGGGTTATACGCACTATTTGATAGATATTATATTAGCTCTGATTTTGCACCGGGGGAAGGAGCGCGGGCAGGTGGAGGCGAAGTAAGCTTGGGCAGCGGCCCCTCGGAGTGGACAGGTGTGTGGAGAGTAAGAAGGTGCATGGGGGCGGGGAGGCAGAGTTTTCCAGGGCAAGTAGAGACCCGGCGGCGGCGGCAAGAAGTTGGCAGGTTGGTCAAAGCAGCATTTAAGTTAACGCCTAGGCGGAGGCACAGGAGAAGGGGGGATGGAGGCGCCGTGAGACACGGAGGGCTTCCCTCAGAGGAGTAACCGGATCCGCGGCACGTGGCGTCGAGAGGCGGCCGCTCCGGGGAGGGTCCCGGCCGCAGTCGCAGGCGTGGGGAATGTGACCTCGCCCGCGCGGCGAGCGTGAAGGCCGTGGCGACGGTCGCGGCGCCTTCTCAGGCCGCACGCACGCAGGGAGCCCCACTTGGCGCCAGAGCCGCCCTCGCCTTCATGCCGGTCGGTGACTCCCGCCGGTCGCACGACCCGCCCTCGCACGGCCTGGCTGGGCTTGCCGCCAGGGGCAGCTGGCGTTCCACAACTTCGGCGTGACAAAGGCCCTTCACCTTAGGAACGATGGAAAGATGAAGTAAACTGTGCTTAGTGTACAGCCTGGGGGAAAGAATCTTTCATATTTGTTTGTTTTTTGCTCTGTTTTCACGCGTGCTTTCCAGAAACGATTTGCATCTCGCCCAACTCTTCCTTCAAATCAACCCCTCCAACAGCGAGCGCGTTGGTTTGGCCCCTCAATCCCGATTGGCCGCAGCTGTAAGTCCGGGTCAGGGATTGGAAGACGTTGGTTTCCTGCGTATCCCCTGCTCCCATTGGCCCGCTTTCCTGGTTTTGGGGGCGTGGTCAGAGACAGTTACCACCCCCTTGTTTACGGAGCGCGTAGTTGCTGCGCACTCCGAGCCCTGGGGCTGCCTCAAAAAAGTTCCCTATTTGGCTCCCCCGACCAATGGGATCCTCGCCCCACCCTCTCCCTCGCCCTTCCACGCCTCCCGCGGGGTTCTGCCCACACCTTTCGAGCGCCGCGGCGCGTGCGGACTCCGGTCTCGCTCCTCCCCCGCGCTCGCCGGGCTGTTCCCCCTTGAGAGTGCGCCTTGGTACGGCCCGCGCCGCCTCCTTTCCCTGCTGGGGCGG